GCAGAGAGAGAGACCCAGGCAGACAGAGAGATGTTCAAACAGACCTTTGAATAAATCACCCCTCCCTCACCCCCCCACCTCCGTGTCAGATGGTAAAAAGTAAACAGTAAATTTGACACATGTTGTCATGAACAGCCTTGGTCTTTGATGGCAGAACTAAAACTATAAATCTGTCTATGCGATGTTTTTAAAAAACTACAACAAAACGTCCATAATATAATTTAAAAAAATCATAATATTGAGATATTGACAGGATAGAACTTTTCTAATAAACAGACCTTCCTCCCTGTAACTCTGTAAACATTTTTGAAAAGTACATTTTGAGATTTAAAATCAAATAAGACAAAGACATGAAAGTTCTATTATTCTTTATTTCTGCCTTCGTTATCGTTACCATTCTCAACAATGTAATTGTCATCTTTTTATCATCTTCAGCTTCATCTCATATATATATATACATATATAAAACCACAGTGCTGTGCTGAATACTCCCAGTCTGTGCCGCTGCTCCGTTATAAAACCAAACCTCATATATTCCATGGTAGGAAGAACACAGTTCCTTTAATAACTGACCCACAAATAACCCGACTTCCTCCTCTGAAATCATCCTGAGTGATTGAGGTTAGAGATCTTCCAGCTCACGGGCATCGACGCCGGCTTCTAACGTGTTAAAAATAAACCTACTATCATGAAATAATCCCTCGTGGCCTGAAGGTTTGGGATTTTTTATTATATTATTATATTTCTTTGGGTGCCATGATTGTAAAGAACACCGCCTCCTGCTGGACTGCTGTGTACAGTAATGTGTGTAATGGTTATAAAAACATGGCCCGCGGTCACTGATCATTCTCAAAGGAAAACAATTAGCATAATGGTTGGGGGAGGGGAGGGGGGAGTGCTGTTTTATCCAAGAATACGACAGATTAGAGCTGTGCATAATTGGACTGATGATGTCATCTACAAACACGGAGCCAGATCTGTGTGTGATTGTGAATCACTCCTTCACTAGAATCGATTTATTTCACATTTGAAATTTAACCCACAAACCAATATTTGGTTCAAATTTCCCAATCTTCCTGTACCTGGTCCAGGTACGGACCGTGGGTCCAGAGCTGCTGGAAAAACTGGGTCACGTGGAAACTGGTAGAATCTCTGTGCTCAACAGGAAGAACAGGTTGTCTTTCAACCTAAAGGTCAGGGTTTGACACCTGGCTCCGATGGTCCTGTGTGTTCCGTCAGTGAGACCTCACTTCAGTCATGATGAACCGTCACGGCCTGGTTTATTTGAACAGAAACCACAATTACCTCCATATATCCGTGATGAAACAAAAACCTCCCACGACCCAAGTGTTGGTCCTGATCCAGTGTTTGGTGATGACTACAGTCGTCTACATGCCAGTGAAAGAGTGGATATTCAAACGAATTATGTAAATAAATATGAAACAATAAAACATATTTAGTACTTTGTGTTGTCATCATTTAAATATACAGAATATTCAGATTCTGGAGACTGTTTTTTTTCTTCCAGTAAACAGCTGCGGAGCTAGATTTAAATATTTTGGCTGTGTGCCTCGTCTCAGCCTCGCCGTAGTACTGCGTCCTGCGCTGCAGTTTGCTTTGTTCCTTCATTCGAAGTTAAGCTCATTCCTAATCTCCTTAATCTTCTGTCCAACTTTCCAAGGAATAAAAACAATGATAAATAATCAGCAGTCACACATATGCTGCGAGGATTTTCATTGGCTGCTGGTGAAGGTTTCTGTGGCCAACGTTCATGGACGAGAACAGCTGAAGAGACGCCAAGAAACTCGGGTTTCATTGGACAGTACGATGATGAGAGTTTGACAAATTCTGTTGACTGAGTTGGACAGTACGATGATGAGAGTTTGACTAATTCTGTTGACTCTAAATTTTAAAAGTTTAAAAAAATTTAAACAGTCGTCAGACTTCCTGTTCAGCCGGCTGTTTTAACTATGCACAGAGTTAAATTCTATTTTTTTTTATAATTTTCCATTATTTATTCCTAGTTGTATTGTTTTTTATTGTCTAATGTGACACTGTTTTTTTATTTAACAAAGAAATATATATTCGATCACATTTGACGTCTTTGGGAAAAGAAAAGAAAACTTTGCCACAGGTTGACACTGCTGACACAGCACATTCTTTTTTTTTTTTTTAACAATGCCTCCTTTTGCCATGAGCTCCAACCAGAGCAGCATGTTGGGGTCAAAGGTCTCTCGGTGCAGCGCCACCTCCTGGAGACCACAGAACAACGTCAAGCTTTTTTTTCTTTTTTCTTTCCCACCTCCCAGGAGCCGTGAGTGGCTGCTGGTTAAGTCCGTGTCTTCACCATGAGCACGGTGAGACACACAAGTCAACATGTGTGACCACTGCCCATGCCAAGGGATTAATCCCCTCCGTACCCCTGCCCTCGCTGCAGGCTGGCAGTCGGTAAGAAGTGGCAGCTTCTGCTGTCGGAGACTCAGCCTCTGTGCCCCAGAGAGAGAGAGAGAGAGAGAGAGAGAGAGAGGGAGGGTGCTGTGGGAGTGTGTGGTTGTGGGCCGCACTCACAGAGAGAGCAGCCAGTGTCATGTGGGTGATGTGTTGTTGTTGTTGTTGTTGTTGTTGTTGTTGTTGTTGTTGTTTGCAGATCACTAAGGAGTAAATGCGAACGTTACACAACGATTCACGTGATGCGTTCACTGGTCGGACGCAGTGATTAACATCCAGCTTAAACAACTTCCATAATGTCTTTGTAATTGTGGTCACATTTCATATCAGTGTGGAGCGGTGATGGCGGCTGGTGTTTACAGAGCACGGCTGCTGAAATACTGCTGTAAATGGTATTCAATAATGAACCAACTGACTGTTACTGCACGGATTGTTTGATGAAGATGTCGTCCTCCAGTCTTCTTCACTTATATCACTACAGTCGTCACATTGGAAAAGTGCTAAAGCTAAACAAAAGAAATAGCCTAATTACAAAATACAGGTAAGTAATAATAATAATAATAATAATAATAATAATAATAATAATAATAATAATAATAATAATAATAATAATAATAATAATAATAATAATAATAATAATAATAATAATAATAATAATAATAATAATAATAATAATCATAATAATGCAGAGACTATCTGGTGGACAGGCCTGCATTTGATTTTTTTTGCTGTGAGCTGATGCAACATCGAGTTTCCTCCTGAAACCTGGGCTTTAATTGTGGAACATTAAGAGCCTCATGTTCTCCACCAGTTTAGAACATGGAGAACAATGTTGGTGTTAAACATCAACAGAGGTTAAGAACTAACCAAGAGCTACGTACACCATTAGTTCTGACTAACTTTGTCCAACCTGACCTAATCTAATCTAATCTAATCAGACATTAGAATTAGACAAAAGCATTAATAACTCTCTAATGTTTTGTAAAGTATTGAAAAATGATTTAAAATTTTAGTTACTGTTTATGTAAAATGTACTGTGTTTTAGTCTAATTTAAAATACTACAGGGAGTTCTGGGTTTATTAGCTTTAGACCAGGACTGCTCCTATCCACACACACACACACACACACACACACACAGCTGCTGATTTCATTCATTTCCAAAAGCCCGTCAGTCAGCTACAGACAGTAAAATATTCATAGTGAACGTTGAGTTTGGCGGCGGCAGCGGTGGCGGCACAGGTTTATTTGTTTGTCTGCTCAGGTGTGAAGAGTAAACAGGACGGAGGAGAAGTCACAGTAATCTGTGTGTCGTGCCACTGCTCTCTTCATCTCCTGTGACATTAACACTCACGGCCACAACAGCCGTGGAACGACACGAAGGAAGTGCCAGTCAACCTCACCGCGGCCACGCTGCACCAATCCTGCGTCAGGTGTTACTCTGCAGGTTTATTTGCCCCAGAAAACAGATAATTAATTAATGATGTTTTTCATTCTGTGTTCAAATGCTGTCACATTAAAAATAAGAGGTAAATGAACAACAGCAGCAGCAGCAGCAGCAGCAGCAGCTCATGACTGATTCATCTGTCGCTCTGTTGCTGCAGAAGTCAATTAAAGACTTCATCTCCTCGTTTGTTTTGGGGATTCCTTCCTTCGACTCTTTAAATCAATTTCCACTTGATTTTTCCTCCCAACACAGGTTAAAGTCCCAGCAGCCAAAGACCAGTGGAGAGGTCCACTCAGACTGACCACAGAGGAGACGCCTGGACAAACATGAAGACGGCAGCAGAGCTGCAGAGACGGCTGAGGACGTCCTCATTAATGTGACAGGAGCTGGTCAGAAGACAGAGGAAGGAAGGAGGGACGGCTGAGTTCCTCATTCACTCAGGGGGTGGGGGGGGGGGGGGGGGGGGGGGGGGGGGGGGGGGGGGGGGGGGGGGGGGGAGGTTGTTGGATGAGGCTGTAGATTTCCCTGCTGTGTGATTTCATCCTCATGTGCGCCTCCTTACAGGACACGAGGAGTGTGAGTAGGAGTTTTTAATGTCAGAAGTTTATTATTCATGACCAAGCAGAAGGAATGGAAGATGGTTTTGTTTTATGACCATGTTTTATTCAGCACTTTATTTCCTAAGTTCTGGAGTTTAATCACGCAGCCCAAACTGAAGTCATCCTAGTTTGTAGAGACCATGTTGGACAGAACATCCCTGAACGTCCCCGATTCACACCAGTGGAGTTCATTATATCATTATTATGACACGTGAATAGTTTTATAATAATTCCTATAAAACTCAATCCTTCCACCTCTCTGGACAGGGTGTTAAATTACACGTATAGCTCCCCCTACAGGAAAACAAATGGGAGCTCTCCTAAACCCACATTAACTCAAACCTCTGCCTTGAACATTGACTCTGAGAACTGGGTCATGTCTGGAGGATGTGAGTGGTCTGCAGACTGCCTGACCATAATTATCTGAATCAGCTCCATGACCAGTCCAATAGAGTCTAATGGAATTAAAAAATCACCAGACACTTGAGTGACTTCAGGAAAGATCAAGACATCTGACTGAGCGACGTCAGGTGACGAGCTGAAACAAACAGTCGTTCAGGAACCAGAGCAGAGCAGCTGTACTAACACATGTGACCAGAACGACTGGACCCAGACCCTGTCTGGACCGGGGTTTGGGTCTTCCTATAAAGGACAAGAGTCCTGCCATAAATATGATCTGGATGTTATGTAAACAACGTCATCCTTCATTGGAGTTCCTTTTCTTTGTTTATTGTTACTTTAGTTACAAAAATCTGACACAAGGACAAAGGCTATGGGGGGGGGGGGTAAATAAAGTCAATTCTCATCTCATTTATTTATTCTTCTCCTCTCTTTTCTTAGAATCTTTACAGCCATGAGATTTACATTAAGTCTGTGACTAAAACTAACTTCAGAAGAAAGAACGTTTCGTGTAAAACCAATTTGTACGCGCGTCTGCGACTGCGGCCACGATCCACCACGTGTTAAAGCGAGTGGAATAATTTGAGATGTTCTGTGTAACTGGGGTCTGAAGGTCACGTCGCAAAGAGCGCGAGCCTAAAGTGAGCTGCTCAAAGACAAAGAGTGGTAGAGCTGAGTGAGTCAACCCCGGCCACTGATTCAGCCGCGATACTTGAGATGTTCTGTGTAACTGGGGTCTGAAGGTCACGTCGCAAAGAGCGCAAGCCTAAAGTGAGCTGCTCAAAGACAAAGAATGGTAGAGCTGAGTGAGTCAGCCCCACTCTGTCTGACCTCTGCTCCATTCTACATCAACACCGTCCTCTGCCACTGATTCAGCCGCGCAGCGTCATGTCAGGGAGAGGGGTTGTCATGAGTTTAGGGGAGGCGTCTGCAGGAGTTAACACTGGGAGCTCACGCTCACCGTGTTGTCTGTGCTAGAATGAATCATGGCCTCTCCACACAGAGTCTCCACACAGCCTGGTAAGGTGGTGTCGGCCGTGTCACAGCAGATCACAGCCATTCCCTCTGATGTGCTGTGTGGACAGCCAGTGGCTGGAAGCACATGTCAGCCTGGAGCAGCTTCACCCGTCCTCCTCATCATGTTGCCTCATCGCCTCAAGTTACGGACGAAACCAACCGGCCAGGTTTGTTGTGGTCTGAGAGCGAGAGAATGGAGCGTTGTTGTGTTCACTCTCATGTGATCCGTCCCAGATATGCAGTGACACACACATGATGGTGAAGTCATCCACGGATCCCTGCCAACGAGCCGGTCAGGACCAGCGCCAGCCTTGAACACAACCAACAAATTTGCATTGTTTTATGAAAAAAAAAAAAGAAAAAGATGGCCACTGCGGTACTGTGGAGCGTGGATAATCAGGCGGCAAGTGCAGGTTGCATAAGAAGATAACTGCCGTGGGGGGAGAGTCTCCGCTCCTGCACCACAGCTTCTCCTCTCTGAGTGTCTCTCAGAGAGGCTTGGCATCAGTGGCTCCCCTGCTGGAGGAGCATCGCCACAGGAAGATGCTCACACACTAGGATTATCCATACAGAGGGAATTAGGGAAGCAACAGGAGGTGAGGGTGGGGGGAGGGGCCAATGCTAAAAGGCCCTGAGGGAACGAAGGAATGTAGAGTGAGAAATAAAAAGAGTAAGAAATTGTTCTTGCCCACGGGGCAGATCTGACCCGTAAAGGTCAGATGATGGTTGATGCTAACTGTCACCTCCACAATTCTGGATTAAGGATATGGTACAAATGGTGCAAATGAAAAGAAGCACAGAGGCGTAGATGACAGAAGATGATAAAAACAGATCGAACACAACTAATGAGTTGCTTTAATTTGAAACATTCAGTATAAAAAGTTCTAGATTTACTCCTTTTTTGGGCAAAAACTGAAAAAAAAAAGCCCTGAAACATTTAATCTAATTTTATTATAATCATATATTTTATCACATGCTTCTCATCATGGCTCAGAATGAATGTGTCAAGGATGATAAAAGCGGTTGCACGGCTACAGCGCCACCTACTGCTCACAGCATGTGCCTGAAATGTGCAGGAGGAGAGAGGAGTGAATTAATGGGATCTTTGTGCTTTTGTGATATTATGTGGTTTCGTAGAAACTGGGTTCCAGTTCCACGTCATTACACTGATGTCATAGACGGTAAGTGGTCTGCTTAGCACAGAGAACAGGATTCAAAAAAGGATTAACTTCATTCATCCACCAGTCCACGCCTCCGAAACACACTGTTTGGAGCAGAGCCTGGCGCCAATGAGTACAGCACTGAAGGCCCGTACCCAGAGGTCAGGTGATGAGTCTGGGAGTTTACCCAAGTCACTTCACAGAGGCACGGGTTGAGCAGCATGCTGGTCCCTGACCAGGCACCAGGGGGCAGAGCTGCTCACTTGCCCCTGGGCGACTCTGCCCTTCGCTCTGGGCTTAGCCGCTCGTTACATTAAGACAGGGGTCGGCATTATGGAAGCTAAAGAGGATTAGCTGATGGACATTTCTGGCGTTGTCGGTCAATTATCAAAATGAAAATCCATGACTGGGGAGAGCCACGACACAGGAGATCTTCTCTCGTTTCCTTATCTCCACTTCACGTCTCTATCGCTCTCTTAGCCACAGTCTGCCCTCGGCTGGTGTGTTTCTCAACACAGGCTCGTCTGTGAAATTAAAAAAATAGAGCATTTAAATTTTTAATGCTGCTAAAGTACACGACTGTACGTTACGCAACTGCACAAAAATGGACCGGCACATCAGCCATTCAGCCGTGTCGGAGTCTAACTCCCCCGACTGTGTGCACCATCTCAAGTGGGACAGTGAGGAGAAGCAGAGACTTACTCCTCATGTCGTCATCTGTGGACGTCACACTGTGGTTTGACAGAGGTGAGCTGACGGACAGGAAGTGAAGAGTAACTGCTTTATTGGGGTTTACTCCCACACTGCCTGCAACAGGAAGTACTTTTTGATAGAACATATGATCAACACAACCACACTCAAAATATCCTTACTAGTGCAATACAACATCATACTCATTTACATGTCTAGGTTTAGGTTTGATCTTTTTTACAAACCAATACAAAGAACATCATTTGTACATCACCCCACGTGCGTCTTCAGTATCTGGACGAGTACTGTAAATGGTATCCGTACTGCTGCACATGAAGGTCACTTTGTTTAAATCGTCATGACTATCGACTATTGATTATCTTTCATAACAACACAGAGTTTGCTGCTTTTAGGGAGTGGTCAATATTGCATTGCACTTGCCATAATATTTCAGGCCTGCTTTGAGGTAAAAGCTCAAACCTCACCTTTCTGGTTTGTTTTATTTCAAACCATTTCAGCACCAGCTGTTAACGTCATTCGAGCTTACAGACGACAGCAAACCAACGTGCTGAAGAGAACCACGGTTCTCTGTGAAGGATCTACCACAGGGATTCACACTACACCGAACATCCCGCCTCCATTCCATCTTTAATGTCTGCAGCACTCCTGCCTTATCTCACAACTTTCTCATCCACAGGCTGCACCTCACTGGTGCCTGGTGTACAACCACACGTGCATGAAAAGATAAAACAGAAAAAAAAAGGAAAAAGTAGAGCTGAACCATTTGACAGTGAGGTTACCATCTATTTGGATATGATGATTGTACTGTAATCCTAGTCCACCACTGGACAACTGCCAGAATTACACTCAGTCATCACTCCAGGGGCAATGCTGCTGCTGCTGCAGGGGTAGATATGATATGGTTTATTCAGAGCTGGAGTAAGAACTGAGAATGTCTCCATCTGCTGTTAACTCACAGTAACCCGTTCATGCAGTGGACGGTTTTGTATCTCACTCTGATACACGTGTGTATGTGTGTATGTTGTTTGATTTTCTGTTTGCTCTGAGATCTCCTTCAAATAACGGAGAACCTCAGAGGAAGAGTCAAGGCTGAGCAGTTTGGAGATGATGTTGAGATGGTCTGGACATGTGCTGAGGAGAGATACTGAACAAAGGATGTTAGAGATGGAGCTGAAAAAAAAGGAAGGAAGGCGAGAGAGAGAGAGAGAGAGAGAGACCAGAGAAGATAGAAGGACATAATGAGGACAAGAGGAAGAGGAAAATGGAAGGAAGAAGGAGGAGGTAGAAGATCTACAGTGATGAGGCAGCAGAGGACAAATAAGAAAAATAGGTTAGGAAGAACAGAAATTAAAAAAAAAAAATAAAAACGGAACACAAAAAGGAAGGATGAAAAGAAAAAATTTTAAAAAACAAAAGAAAAGGAAGTATTTGTGGCCCATTACACACCAAGTACAAAAACCACCCAGAGACACACACATGAAAAAGAAAAATATTTTTTAATAACAGCACTGAGAACATTTTTAACAATCCACTACACCAGTCTGTGACAGTAGGTACAACTCAGCCAGTCAGGATACAAAAGGTCGGTCCAGGAAAATCATCATCATCACTGCCCCAGTCTGGGCAGAAACAAGTGACAGTTAACAAAGTGTGTCTGCAAAACAGAAACCACAAAAGTATAAAAAATGGAACCTTTACAAGACTTGCAGTACACACAGGGTCAGAGTGTGTGTGGTTCACTCTGGTCCTCCTCTTATTGACGACAGTCTCTGAAGCGTCACGTGATAATCGTAATAATGCTGCTGCTGCTGCTGCTGCTATACCACAGCGTACTGCTGATACAGCAGCTCCCGGATCTTGTAGTAGTCGTCGCACAGACAGCCTTCCAGGCCGATGCGTCCGGCCTCCGTCTGGACAGAGAGAGAAGTTCACGTGTCACTAACACATCATTCAACATGATTTTTCACCTTTGAATTTATTTCATTTTAAAAACACTGTCCCAAAACCATTTCCCTTTTCATTCTTCCTAATCTGGAATAGAACTGCATAATGAATCCTAATCCATCAAGAACTCCCAAGTGCACACACACGCGTGTGTACACACACACACACACACACTCTTCCTTAATGGACTGCATTCCCTTTGATTTCATTTTCTAGGTTGCATCTATTTTTAGTTCTTGTCAATTATGCATTTGTTGTTAGTATCCCGGCTCCTCTGACTCCTGACTTTACCTGAGTCATTAGGTTCTGGCTGCTGCTGCTGCTGCAGAACTGTGGCTGCTACTGGTTTGTGTTTAATGTTCAGTTTTGTGGCGGATTCTTAAATTTAGTTTTGCAGTTTTAACCGATGATGGATGAACAAGGACGACTTGTAGCTGTAAATGTAGCGAGACCAAAGTCTGTCTTTTACAACTCATGTCTTTACGTCGTTCACGTTCAGGGAGTCAAAGATTTCCAAAGTCAAGTCTGTGTAAATCTACACTGTGTATCTTTAACTGCACATTACTGCTGATTTCTCACTGAAACAAATTCAACCCTCATAACGTTTAGGACACAGAATTGAATTTCTGTGCTAAAAATATGAGTATAACTTGTCAAAGACACTGCCATACTGCATCAGGCCACCGAGGGGAGAGCACAGGAAGTGAGCCTGGGGGAAGGACACTCACCCGGCGGACGGCCACCATGTTGTTGCAGACCAACACTCCTCCCACAAACTCAGCCTGGATTCCTTCTCTCAGCAGGACCTGCTTGAAGTCAGACAGACGAGGCTCGTTGATGAACACCGACTGATGCCCAGGCATCTGCAGGAGGAGGAGGAGAAAAAAAAGGAGACTTCATCAAGACCCAATATAATAATACAAACAACAACAAAAAAATCCTGCACCAAAACCAAGCAAGACCCAATATAATAATACAAACAACAAAAAATCCTGCACCAAAACCAAGCGTTTTATACTTGATTAAAAACTCAATACATGGTTCAACTATAAGCAGTTCAAGTATTAAGAATATATATAAAATTAAGAACTTTAAGACTACTGTATGTTTCTGTAGACATAGAAAGATTTCAAGTATTAAGAATATATATAAAATTATATAAAAAAGAATTTGAATATGTTTCTGTAGACATAGAAAGATGAACAACCATTAATTCCAAACAGTTACCATTAAATCTTTTAACACAGAACCTTTTACCAGCGTCCATGTTCTCTCACCTCGTGTGGAGGCAGCGGCTCCAGCGTGGGGATGACGTCGCTCTCCTCAGACACCTCCCTCTCGTCCTCCCCAAACAGATTCTTCATGGCGCGCTGCGCTGCCATGGCTGTGGTATTGTGATCAATGCCCAGGTCAGGAGCGGTGTCCATGGTCAGATCTCCATCCTCCGCCTCTTCTTTCATGCCTCCATCCTCCAGCATCACGCCGGTGTCCACCTTCACCACCCGCTTGTCCAGAACACCGTCGATCCAGGCCAGTTCTGTGTCCTTGGCTTTGCAGAACTGCAGAGAACTCACCAAGGAGTCTTTCAACCGCACCTGTGTCAGAAGGTAAATTACAGAAAATGGTTCAACCACAGAACACAGTGACAATCCTCCGACAGAGCAGCAGGACCGAGTCTCACCTGGTAGATGAGCGTCTCGCTGGTGGCGTCCACCGTCTCCTGCAGCTTGGGTGTGTAGACTTTGATGTCCTTGCTGAAGGCCTTACAGGACTCGGCCAGGTCCAGACTGGCCTCGGGTGGACCATGCACGATCACCAGCTGTCTGGGCTTCATCTGATTGATAATCTTCTTGATGGAGTCGCCGTCAGAGCGGCCCTCGTAGTCTATGTACGTTATCCTCGCTCTGAAAAACAACACAAAAGACTGAGACACACTCAAGTCTGGAGGAACCTGGCCTGGTGGCTGATGAGAAATAAACGAGGACAAAACATGTACCACCTACAAACTTTAAAAATTGCTGACCTGATTTCTAGATTTTCTATACTTGAGATGCATTTGGTGGGAACCACAGAGAGATCCTGGTCCATGGGTTCGTCGCCGTTGGTTAATCCTGAATCCAGTTTGCTTTTCTCCTCCTCTGTGGCCTGCAGCTCAGGAACCAGAAACTCTTCCAGTCTTTACAACAACAACAACAACAGACTGTTAACAACACAAGTTCTTGATTCTCCTTCATCACAACTGTAACTTCATTTTACCTGATGATTTCTCCGTACTCGTCCCATTTTATTCTCTCCTCGTGGGTGGGGAACATGGGATAAGACTTTTTAGCCTGTTTGAAGAAGCTGCCTTTCCGGTTACCCTCACCCTTCATCATCAAGTCGTGGTGTTTGGTTTTGACTATGGCCGGCTGCTCCAGGTCATCCTCCATGTCACTCTCATCACTGGAGCTAACGTCTACCCTGAAGAAACATTAGATGAAATAATTATATTTTAAAAGCTCTTTAAACACTGATTCAGTTTTGTTTTTGTTCAGCACCACCAGCACAGCAGCAGCTTAAAAATAACAGCATAAAACATGGATAAAAAAGTATGAGGACTCCAGTAATCCTTACTCTTTTGCTTGTTCCAGTTTTTTGGCCTCTTCTTTCTTTATTTTTTCCTTTTCAAGGAACTCCTCCAGCTCTCTGCCTTCCAGCTTTACTCGTTTTCTCACCTGAAAAAAGTGATAATTTGCTACGGTGCACAATAAGAACAGAATGACACATCTGCTGTTGTTTTCTGTGTCTGGATGTGACAACTGTCTTACCTCCAAATCCAACATCTTCTCTCCAGGGTTGTCGATGAGGTAACGGGCCAGGGTTCCTGGTGTGGTGCGATAGGTCAGGATGATGGAGTTTTTAGCATTTTGGCACCATTGAATGAAGAGTTCTCGAGAAAAGCCTGATTCGAGGTCCGGCTGGCTGCACAGCACCACCTTGGGGCTCGGCACCCGGGCCAGGTCTGCTAGACTGTGACACAAGGTCAGATGACGGAACTGGAACGGGTTGTTCCTCTTATCCTCAAAGCACCTCATGAGTTTGTCGCTCATCCACTCCACCTACAGAAGCACAGATCACACCATCATCAATACACTAAGTCAGTACCTGCGTTTATTACCAATAATACACTCTGTGTGTACCACACCTGAGACTTGGAAAACTCCACCACGTTGTAGCTGACGTTGTTCAACAGAGCCAGTGGATACGTTCCCAGTCCAGCATCCTTCGTTCTCCATATCTGGTCCAGGAGCTGAGCCAACTCCAGCACACGTCCAGCCGTATCCACAGCGATGAGAACATTTCCATCACTGCGCAGCGTCTCCATGGCATTTGCTGTCAGGAATTAAAATGAAAAGATAGGACCAAAGTTCAGAAACAGTGCCATGAATGTTATTAACCACTTCTGTGGAAGACGTGTAAACATTTGGGGTCATTTTCTTACTGAGGAGCTGCTCATCTCTTTGCTTACGACGTGGCTGCACGTATGTGGCATTGAAGGAGTCTGTGATGAGTAGGGAAGGACGACTGATGCTCTCCAGTGTACAGCCATTCAAGTGTCTGAAAACAGTGTCAAACAAGGCATTGAAATAACAGCAACAAAAATAAATTATTTTATTTGAAAATGTATTTGTCCTGCTTACATTTCTCTTTTGTGGTTAAAGTCCACAGCGTAAACAACCTCCTCCTCTCCATCTTTAACAATTTTCCAAATGGTCCCTCCGATCATGTGACCAGCTGGAAGGGGTGTGATGGAGAGGCCGTGACCTTTACCTGTAAAATAAAAGGGTTTTTTTTTCTGCAGCTGTGATTTAAATCCTCAACTGACTACAGAACTATAACAATACACATGTAACCTACCTTTAAGATTGACAATCTGAGAGTATTTAAGCTGCTGGATTTTATCAAAAGCACTGTCCACATCATCCAGAGTGAACAGATTAAATTCTTCACTGTTGTTCCGTGACTGCAGGAGAAAAATAATATGCCAAATGAATGAATACCTATATAGAAAAACATTTAACGTCTTTGATGTAGCACCACACAAGCATGACTGGTGTTTTCCTTACCTGATAAAGGTCATACATGAACATCTGCCCCATTTTATAGACAGGAATTGTTGCATAGATTGTACAGTTTAAACCCAGTTTGCCGACAGCGTATGGCAGGGCTCCCAGGTGAAGGGGATCCGGGTGGGACAGGAGCACGGCATCCACCTGGTGAGCAGGGCTCCCAGGTGAAGGGGATCCGGATGGGACAGGAGCACGGCATCCACCTGATGAATATGTCTATGAAAAAAAGGAAGAAAAAATTAGCATTTATTGATATTTTATTTTTCTTGTAAACTCTGGCCTTAAATGAAAGAAGTGTTATTGAGGAGAACAACCCTTTTAGGTTTCAATGTATAGCATCAGTACTGACTTTTCAGCATTAAAAAACTTTCCAAAATGGTTCCATAATCACCTTTTCATTGCATCGATGATGTCCATGGAGAAGTTCTCATCCCAGCCACAGTCCAAGAGGAAGCGGAATTCATCCACCTGCAGCAGGTAACAGAGGGCCGACTCCTCTTGGACCCCTGACACTGCTGTTAGCTTTATAATGGACGTCATTTTTCTTCCCCTGTCGAACTGAAACCACAAAATTAGACAAACTGCAACAGATTAATACTCAACAGCTTAATTACTATTTTTAGTCCAATGCTGCTGTGAGCTTAACATTTACAGGTTCATTTATTGATATATAAACAGGGAAAAAATAACTGCGCTCGAGTTTAATACAAAAAGGGGGAAACATATCTCGATACAATATCATTAACTCAAACAATTAATTACTGAAGAACAGAAAGTAAACTAATGGTGTTGCTTCTGCTTAGTTAGTTAGCTGCATTGACAATACGGTGCCTATTTGACACGCTAGCTTTATTTTAGCATGAGGACCTTTGTTGCAAAATCTAACAAAGAAACACGCGGCTCACCGTTTATTATGAGATGAGGTTACTTTATCTTATTTGATAAAGAAGCACGCTTTGCCAAACCCTCTATATTCCCATATTCCAGGCATTTGTTTTCATCGCTATAACATGCACACTTAACCGGCAGCCATGTTTACCGCCGAGTCAAAGGGTAAAGGAACGTACCATTATTGAGGAGCCAACGGAAACTATTATAATCCGTATAAATTATAATGCGTTTCATAAAAAACATATTATATTTTAGAAGACCGGATTCAAAATTACGTTTTCCAATACACTTTACAAGCTTTTTAATATAAACTAAACTTTTTGGTAAATTTGATGTGTTTAGTTTTATTTCCAAGGCGACCATAACGTCCGCTCACAGTTGGTATACTCCAATGTCCTCTGTCTGTTGGAAGAGCTGAAGGCTACTGCCCTGTGTGCAAAGAAGGTAATGTTTTGTTTAAAACGGCGTTTTAACTCTACATTTTTAGAAACCTAACGTAAAATATGACACAAGGGTTTATATACGGGTTATAATTTAAAACAAGAACCTCGTCAAATTAGAATAACACCAGACATTTGGTTGCTGTGGCTACATAGCTGTCCAATTAGCCTAGCTAGCCGTGCAGCATTTGTGTGTGCACATTAACGTGTTTTGAAGTGTGTAAGTTTGTCATCTAAGTCTAAGTTTATCTTAGACCTTTTTCAATATTTTTTCAGGAATTTAAATGATAAAATTGGAACTGAAGTATGTATTTATTTATTTAAGCCGGATAAGATGAGTTATTGCTCACTTAAAGACGTAAGTGTTGGGTTAGCACCTACAGTAAATCCTGTAATTATTGTCATTATTATTGCTTTTTGTTTATATTAACTTGGTGGTTGCATAGGTATTGATGTACTGAAATTGTCCTTTATATTTAAAGGATATATAAATATAATTTATATAAATTAAATGTGCGACATGTATTTGAAAAAAATGTTATTTTAATGATACTTGCTGTATACTGTACTTTCCATATAATACTTTATTTGGAGGTTAATGGCAAAGTTATTGACTTCTAAATATACTATTTAATGCTATGATCATTAACAAATTTACTAACTATTTCCACATAAAATATACTATTAATTTGGAATGTTTGTAAATAAATACAAATAGAAATAATTTCACTACACGAATATAATAACAATAATTGTTGTTTGCTTTTGTAGGAATCATGGTCAACTTCGCCGCACTAGTGCGAGACCACTGGGTGCACATTTTTGTGCCAATGGGCTTTGTAGTTGGTTACTACCTCGACAGATTGCAAGACCAGAAGTTAACGGCCTACAGGAACAAAAGTGTTTTGTATGCCAGGTAAAAAAAAGCCAAACTGCCTTAAAGACTTGCCTATTTAGTCACTTAAATATTAAAAAGATAAAGACAATATAATGTATTTGTTATATTGACTTATTCTCCAGCTTTACTTATGTAAAATTGACTCACTATATGTGAGGCAAAACAAGGGAATATGCACCTTTTAAATATGCCATTTCTTAGTCAGTAAGTTGCAAGGTTACAAAGATGTAATGGTAATTTTTGTCCTTTTTTCCCTGTGACTGTTAACATAATGTACTTATTTGTCTTTTATTTAGCACTCAGTTGGATTGTTCATTCTGTGTTCAAAAACATATTGAACTCTTGTCAGGTCATCAGTCTAGACTTTAAATATTTGACTTAGTCAAAAACTTGTTTTCCTTCTCCACAGGGAGCTAAAGCCTGGTGAGGAGGTGACCTGGAAGTAGACCCCTCCTTCCTACAATGTGTCCTGTGATCTGTGGTGTGAATAACTGATGGATGCCCCGTTTAATCCAGATTATTTAAGTAGACATCTATGCTTCCACTATGGAACTGTATCAACCAATCATCTTTGATCTTTTGAGTTGTATCAACCAATAATAAATATGTTCTTTTTCAGTCAGAGGTGATGAATGTGATCATTCAACACCACATGACGCCTGTTTCAATTTCACAGCTGGTTTATTTGGTGGCCATTATGAACTGAATTTACAAAGTCCTTGTCTGTATATGACGACAGAAAAAACAGAAAATGTATGTTGTATGTAATTAAGAAGACTGAGGGCAATGATGTCATCACAGAGGTTCTTTTGTGTGTATGATCCCCTTTTCAAATAACAGCTCAGCCAATTCCACCTAAACAAAAATAGAACAAAACAACCGGTGAAACATTCTTCATTTTAAAATGAAAAGTCATTAAAAATTCAGAAGAAAAAAAAATTAAAACATTTTTTTGCAAGATATTTTGAAAACCACAGACCTTTTCCTCTACAGAATCACAGGAGAAACTTCCAACTGTCACATATTTAGGATAAGAATGAATCAGGAGCTCTATGGCATCTGTGTACTGGGGGAAAAAAAATTTTACTTTACGATGAAAAATTAATTTTACAAGATGAAAACATTTGCACACACTGTTCAGTCACTACCTCTGTCTTTATTTCAAAACTCTTGAGCTCCTCTTTGTGGTAAACTCGGGAATTGCCCGTGGTGTAATAAAGATGAACCGATTCATTGCTGCATAACCTGTCAAACGATCAAGTATTAAACACGAATAATCATGATTAATCTAGTTGGACAACACTAATGTTTGTGTTTCACATGTCCAACAAAAACCGGTCACAGAAACTGCCACGTACCTGGCACATCCAGCACGGAGGAGTCGGACCCGAGTCTTGCTGTTGATCTGTGCCCCCCTGTGCACAACTCTCCCACCTTCCCAGCTAACAGAGGCTCCTTGAACACTAGTGGCCAGTTCATCTGTTGGAGATGCCATATTGAAGTGAACTGTCCTCGTGATTTTACCAACCCTTCTTCACTCAGCACAAACCTGGTGTCAGTACAGGAGGCAGGCAGTCGTGGAGGAAGTCTTTGGCCTTCTGATCCACAGCTGCATCCACCGGCGCATAATACTTCAGCTTCTTCAACAAGGTCTCGATTCGTGCAAAGAATTTCTCTCTGCGCGGGTCGTCCTGCACGAGAAGATTTTAGTTGGTGTGCAGCAAATCAAGTGTTTGACTCACTGGAAAAGAAAACAGATTCTCTACCATGTCTGAATTCTGAACCCCCATGTAGGTCAGGTAGTCCAGAGGTAAACCCTGTCTGAAGGCCACGTCCTCCTCCATTGCTACTTCCAGAGCAGCAGGAACCACCTTTAAAAAAACAAGCAGTATATTATACATTATAATCGATTGACGGCCCTGACCATCCTACAGAGGTCAGTTCCTTCACAGCAGCTCCTGGTACCTTCTGCAGCAGATCGCCCCAGCTGTTCTTCTGGAAGGAGGAGATGGTGATGTGCAGGGAGTGAGCGTCCGGCAGACAGTCGCCCTGGTGGATGAATCCTCTGGGAAAGTAGAGGAGGTCTCCAGCCTCCAACACCACTTCAAGGATGGGGCTCCCGATGTCGGTGTCTTTAAAGTTTGCTAAGAAGCAGAACAAAAGAGAAACAGATGTCCATCAAACTGCTCTGTGCCACGGATTCAAATGTAAAGAAAAGTGAGAAGAAATATTTTTACTCACGACTTGAAAATACAGGCAGCACTTCATTTTCTGACCTGAGGAAAGTAATAAGAACTCAATTCAACTGGAATGGTTGTTTACACGTTAGTCAAAATACAAAAATAAATTATACAGTAATATATCGTTTGATGTGTCGGAATTAAAGCGTTTGTGGTCTGTTTATTTCAAGGCAAGAAATTAGTGTTAAAAATATCGTTTGATGTGTCGGAATTAAAGCAAGGCAAGAAATTAGTGTTAAAATTTTCTTTTTTTTTTTTTGTCAATTTCAAATTCTTGCTTTAACTCAGTACACGCTGAAACGTGTACTTCACTTGCCCTTACCTGGGGTTGTAAACTCGCCAGTGTTTCTTCCCTTCCAACTGAACCACAAAAGCCTCAATGTCATCATAATGTGGAGCAAAGCCTTGAGTTCCAGGTGGCGTCAGGTATCTGTGGGTGGGAAGACTCTTTCATTACCAGGACAAACTGGACTGACTCCGGTTCATGTTCAGAATCCAGATTCTTACACGTTGGCTCCGGCCATGCTGCCAAAGTGCTCCTGAAGAATGGACAGAACGTTCCAGGCGGTGGAGGAAAACGCCTGAGGATTCAGCATCCGCAGAGAACAGCCGCTCTGGAGGACGGAGAGAAAGGTTTTATGGACTAAAACATTTCGTCACAAAATAAAAATAATGATCTAATGTAAACATATAATAAAACAATAACGGCTGAACATACTAATAATAACACTTTCACCTTCTTTACCTCATAGAAGTCCCACACAGTGAAGGGCAGAGCTCTGCCTGGAGGGTTGTGTGTCTCCCTCGCGCCGTTTGTGTAGCTCGTGACATCCAGGTTCACCCCATACTGTACGTCCTCCTGTTAACACCAGAATATTACACTTTAGTATTAATAATGTTCACGTCTGTGATGTATTATTTCCCCCTCATCCTACAGACACTCACCTCTCTTAAAATGCGATCAAACTCTGCCGTGGAGAACAGTCCTTTGTAGTAATGTGGATTCTTCCTCTGTATGAGGACAGGCTGCTTTTCCCACGTTTCCCTGATAAAAGAAATAAAAAGAAAAAATTAAAGTGTTCTGATGTTAAAAATGTGATGAATTAGAATTTTGTCAAATGCTGTTAAATAAACAATAAATATTGTTTTTTTAATGTTATACCAACAGGACTTACAGATGAGTCATGACTTTTTACTAAAACTATGGAAAACCTATTTTTTACACATTTATCCTTGGAGTAAACAGTGTTTTCTACTGTCAAATATGAAAAAGAAAATAATCCCGTCATCTGTACCTGAAGAAGGTTTTTGTAGGAACGGGGTTGATGAGCCACTGGAATAACTGAGCGGCTCGTTCTCTGCTGTTGTTGACGTTTGCCAGGTCTGACAGCAAAACTTCCAGAGTTGAACCATCGCCGTTTACACACTCCATCTCCTCCTGGTTCTCTTCTCCTGGCTTCTGACACACAAAGGTTGTGAGGTTTAACTACAGACTAAAGCCTTACTTACTTTTTAGACAGTGACTCACCTCTGCCCTTGGCATCAGGACCGCCTCTCTGTGTGCAGACCTCTGCAGCTTCTTCTGCATTTTTCTCTTTTCTGACTTCACCTGAGCTTTAACTTTGTTGACTCTTGTCACGGGAAGTCCGTTTTCCTTTTTCTTTTTCTTCTTGAGCACCACCTTATGACCACACATGAGAAAACCATAGTAAGTACGAGTCAGGACTGACTGACTGTAGTCTTTCTATGATCAGTGCATTATCCTCCGCTGCTGAAACAAGTCGAAAACCACAAAGTCGATAAATAATCGGTGTTATTTAAATTATGTTTACCAATGCTGGAGGATTTTTTGCAGGAGGAGGCGCCTCCGTTGACATCATTTTATACAATTCAAGAGCAGACATGTGTTTTCTCTCCATTTTTCCTGCCGCTACGTCATCACCCTGCGACTGAGGCGATCTTCTTTTTGTATTATATTTTGTGTACGTCTGCCCTCAAGTGGACTCATTACCGCCATCTATGGCATTGTACAGAAACACATCCTTTTGAGTTGGAAGCTTTGCTTTAAATAAAAATAAATACTGCTGCTGTTTGAATGTATTTTCATTATTTGAAGTCAAACTCAGTATTCTTTGACAATCAGGATTCAAAACAGTCTAACTGTTAAAATTTATATGAAAAATAATGTATATTAAAATACTTTTTTATTTTCCCATGTCTCTTCATATATAATGATATAATGGCCGTCACTTTAACATAAAAAGACGTTAAAGTCACAGATGTTAATTGTATCAAATCTACAAGAACAGCCACAAGCGGTCATTCTGACCGCTAGATTCTGAACTTTATAATCGCTCATGATACATTCCCAAATAAAAGATTAATGGATTTATTTTATATCTACAAAACAACAACATAACACAGACATTTGTATTTTAACACATTTATTATTCACAGTACCTTAAACCCACGGCTCAGTATATTTATTCATAGCAGTGCAAACAGTGATGCATTCAGTGTAACAGTATTTGATTAGGAAATACTTTAACACTGACAATGAAAATAACAACAACAATAACAACAGACGCCTCCGGTTTGTGGCATCTGCAGCAGGTGTTGAAAGGTTTGTTTCTGGTCTAACTTGTCCTAATTTGCTGCGGCTGTCGGCGCTTTCTTTCTCTGCATAAACTCAGTTCTCGGCTCCTCTGTCAGCTGCTGCAGGGATTTCCTGCGTCCTGTGCTGCTGCCGATGCACTGTTTGAAGAGAACGTGTTCAGATATTCCAGCCAGGTCCAAAAAAACAACTGACCACCTTCCTGTGCCGCCTTTCACACAGCACGCCATCACTTTCTGATCGATATCATCGAGGATCAAATCTTCTTTGTCTTTAGTCTAATAAATTAAAAAAACATTTTGACTAATAATACAGACAGATTTAAAAAGGAAAAGTCAGGTAGGGACAGGGTTGTACTTTTTAATTTCATAAAGTGATGGATTATATAATTTTGGAAGCGGTCAAAAGGGCCGAGTTTTTAATTAGCACCTACTGTGGTGACGCAGAAGTCACTGGTATGACAGGAACTCTGTGTTTCACATCTTATCCACTGGAATGATGCCGAGGGTCTTCATCCCACCAGAGAGGACGGAGGAGGCGCCGTGGAACAGTCGTAGTCTGGCCTGAGGACCGAGCAGAAAAGTCGACATGAAGGAGTGAAAACATCAACATGAGAAATGAAACATTAAAACCACAGTTTGAACTCCTGCAGTCACGTCTTTATGGTGTGACTGATGAGTGTGTACTGTTGAGTCATAGTTAGTGTGAAAACTACGGTTGCATTAGAGGCCATAATCTGTTTGGACAGGAAGTGTCTCTGGACAAACCTGGGCCACGTCCTGGAGACTTCCTTTCACCGGCAGAACTCTGTGTGCTGAGGCGATCAGGTGACTGAAAGACAAAGACAAACGTCGTTAACACCTGTGGACACTGTCTATTTACAACGTACACAAACACAGCCCACTATTAGCAGAGGCCAAGTACTTGGTCACCTAGGGCGCCATCTGGTGGAGGGATGTTGCTATAACCCCTCAGGAAAAAAATCCTGTTTAGGATTTAAAAATGTTTACAATCCTACAAACTGAGAAACAAAGTATTCCCTATGAAATAAACAGTTTGAGCCTTAATCCAGAATAATTTCTTCTAGAAGAAAAAAAAACTTAAAATAGTTTGATTTAACTTAGCAACAAAATGCTACAAATGTGTGACCACTCCCACTGGAACCCCAGATTCTCTCCTTACCAGAGCTTTAATAAGAAATTGACCAAGTGTTTGGGCTGCAGGTCCTGCGCAGACTGGTACAGAACCTCATCATATCTGCAAAAGAAGTTCATGTGGAAAACTCAGTGGCCTCACACAAACTACTGGGTCAACTGTGTTGAACGGTGTCGTACCGGAGGAGATGCTGCAGCATGGCGATGCTCGCCTGCTCCTGTAGAAGGTTTGGATCAAACTCAGAGGTGTCCACCTGCTGGTTCCTCTGTATTAGACTGCAACAATAAACAGGCCCATGTTCAGCTCCAGTTGACATGTGGGTTTCATTTCACCTTGTGCACAAACATCTTGAATGATTCAACATTTGACTCTGGGCCATAAAAATATCAAGAGTTTTTTAGGGGTATTTCTATAATATATATATATTATATTATTACTTAATAATAATATACAGTATATATATATTATTATTCAATCGTGTTTCTCTCTTCATAAACCTCTCAACTAATATTAATAATACTAATAATATTGGTCATTTCATTTTCTGCACTACAAAAGTACGTCACAGACCTGTGGAGTCGAGCGTGTGTGTACTGGAGGAAGACCCCCGTGTCCCCATGAGACTGAAGGATCCTGTCCCAGTCAAATATATAGTCCGCCTGCAGGGGGCCTTTGAAGTCCTGCAGCACAGGCACAGAATACAACAACAAAATGCAACAAGGTCAGACTGAGCAGAAGGAAGACCTCAGACCACAAGTGAAGACGTGACGAGTTGGAGACTGGACTGGACCTGAGTGATCAGCGCGCTCATCCCCACTTTCTCAGCTGTGTCTTCTGGGTCGTCCAGTTCTTTGGTGGCTGTGAAACAATAAACACAGAGGATTATATCAGGGTTTCTGATTCCACAATACTAGTCTGTTACTGGTATTTTAACACCGTGTGGGTCAAACTGAAAACGTAATTTAAATTCTAAACTTTTACTTTTTGATCTGCTCATGTTGTCCAACATCCTGGCCTGGACTTCGTCCAGCACGTCCTCTAGGAACACCACCTCACCAGTCCTAGTCTTCATCCCCTTCACCAGACCAAAGGGCACGTGTTGACAGCTGCAGTCAGGGACACACACACACACGTGGTGAAAAGTGGTGATGAGAAACCATGAAAAATGACACAAATGTGTGGATTGCGGTCTTGAAGTGACATCATGAACTGGTCGTTGATAAATGTGTGAATGAACCACGGCCTGTATTTGATGACAGCAGCTGCCTGTGGTGGGTGGAGCTCAAACAATGTGACATTCCCATCACAGCAGAATCAACACCACAGAACTGTGTATTCACAGTGTGTTGTGTTAGAACAGATCATGTGACTCCTCGCACCTGTAGGACCAGGAGTGCCCCATGGAGGAGAGGATCTGGAACAACTGCTGGAAATGGGTGGACTGACTTTTATCTGTCTTCAAAAACAAATCAAATGACAAAGAACAGATAATTAAGACACAGAGTCAGAAGAATCACAGAGAGAGAACAAATAATAATGGCCACATCAGTGTCTTCATTATTACCACATAAATCATCTCATCAAATTGATACTGTCGTCTCCGGCTCACGGCTGCAGCCAGATCTCTGTTAAAAAAAAAAAACATTTTCATTAACAAAGAACTGTTCCACGTTTTCTCCAGCTGTTCATTAACAGGAGGTGAATGTTGTTATAAACGACTGGTACATTTACTCCATGTTTTTTTTTTTCAAAGATTAACAGCAAATACAGAGAAGGAGAAGCTCCTCTTAATCTGCTCGTCCTGACCTGGTGATGTAGAGAGATGTGCCGTCACTACGGAGCAACGTGCAGACGCTGCTCAGGTCTCCGTCAGGAGAGAGATCAACAACATCTGCTCCATTCCTGGCAAAAGTACAACAAAAAAAGTGTTCTGTTACGAAACGACCAAAACACCTGAAGATGAGACTCGTCTATTTTTTATTAGTTTTATTTATTTCATGATGTCACCATCATGTCTTTTTTGTTTACTCTTTCTGTACGTAGACTTGCTGTAATGCCTGTAACTGTCTCTGATACACACCCAGAGGTTTTTAACAGGCCTCGACTCTGCAGCTGCTGCATCACTTCCTGGACCTGACCCAGGTGTTCGGACTCTCCGGAGTAAACATCAAAGTGGATTCCTAACCTCTTGAAACGAAACAGACGTCGGTCAGTGGCTTTTTAACAGCTGTTTGGGTGAATTTAACTTTCATTAACAATATGATGATAATGATGATGATGATGTGTCCTTCACCTTGTATATGCTCTGATACTCCTTCACTGTTATGTCCCTGAACTGCTGCCATAATGTCAGAGCCTGCGGCTCGTGCTGCTCCAGTTGTCTGAAGAAAGACTGGGCCGCCTGCATCAGACCATCATCGTGTTCTGCTTCCTTGTTGGCCTGGACATACACCTGAGGACAATCACAGTGTTGTTTGACAGACAGCTTCACCCATGGTGATCTATCAGTCGAAGTATGAAGGTCAGCGGCAGCAGATCACCTCAAACAAATGCTGTAATGGATTCTGTTTTAATTTCTCCTGAGACCCAAACCGGTCAAAGGCAGCTCCTAACAAACCTGTCAGTCAAAAGATCAAACATGTGTTGTTTTATATGACATCAAACGTCAAACAGTTTCATCTTGAACCTGTTGGATATTAAAATAACTCACCAAACTGCATTCCCCAGTCTCCGAGATAGTTCATTCGGATGACGTTATTTCCCAGAGACTGCTTCAGGTTGGCAATAAAGTTCCCTGTAGAGAAAGTCAAATTTATTTAACTGTTTTCTGTACAATCACACTCATCACTAACATTCTCCTAGTTTTACCATGAACTAAAACATGTCGTGTCAAACTCACCGATAATCGTTGACCTCAAATGTCCAACGTGAAATTTCTTGGCAATATTTGGAGAGCTGCGATGTACACACACATGTCATTGCTTATGAGCTAAAGAAGAAAAAACATTTGGAGTATTCTAAATACACAAGGTGTAACTGCAGCTCCACCTGTATTCCACTAAGGTGGTTCCTTTTTTGAGTGTGTTGAGGAGTTCGCTGTTGAAGCCAAACTTCACGTCTTCATGCTTTTCAAACGGCTCCAACATTTTCTGAGACAGGAATCCCAGCATCAGTATAACAGGCGCTGCATTTATTTTGTTACTATAATAGTTGCTAATAGTTTTTCATTTAAGAGCAAATATCTTCACTCAAAGAGTCAAAACTGTTTACGGTTTTGTTTATAACATTGATGCCATGTATATATATACTGTGTATTTGGAAAAAGTAAAACACACCAACCTGGACAAGGAGTTTGCGATTAACAGTGAAGAAGATCATTTCACGATCAACAGAAATGTTTTCCACCTCATTGTCACACTTCATCTGAAAAGCGCAAGATGGAAAATTTCCCAAGAAATAATTCATAACTTTGCATATTCTCTGTAGGTCCTTCCAATATTTAAAAGATTCTGAAATTTTTGAACAGTTTTTACCTGAGAGGCTAAGTTTTCTGTCTGCTGCCGAATGTCTCCACTAGATGGTAAAAAACCATTTGCTCGTAGCGTGCTGACAGACAGTCTGAAGTCAGCAGAAATTCTAAAGGAGAATAAAGAACAATTATATGAGTTAAACATAAAAGTAAACGTGAATTGGACATTGACATTGATTGATACCAGACTAATGCTGGCCTCTGTGCCATTAACTGTCATTTCTTGGATTCATATAATAAAGAAAATCCTTGTAACTACAGAACTATGCCAGGCATTTGTATATTAATCCATTTAAAATAGCTACATATTTAAAATGGGTAAAATACGTCAAAAGGGATTTGCAAGCCTCTCAAGAGTCTCATTCATTAAGGTTTTATGTTGCAGTATTAGCATATCCTACAAAAGAAAAAAATAGAATAACATCGTGTCAACACAAAAACACTTAACTGTTTCTTGGACACTGAAACCGCTGACACTGTCGGTATGAGGACATCCTCGGGCTGTTGCAGTGCTCTGCCCAACTAAACAAAAAAAAAACACACACACAGAGATGAAACACTCACTCATCCATACAACAATAAACACAGGTTAAAGACGTGTGTTGACTTGTGTCAGGGTCATAGCCGGTTAGCATTAGCACTCAGACTTGCAACATTTCCGGCTTCGATACCTTGGCTGCAATTCTCCTCCGAAAGAAACCAGACATACTTTCGTAGAAGGCCAGACGAAGTAAAAAAAAATTAAAAAAACAAACACAAAACAAAAATGCTTTAAGCTAAATTTTGACAAGTCAAACTCGACATGATTCCCAGGCAAAGTGCACTTACCAGGTCCCGCCCCTTCCGCTCGGGGTGTCCAATCGTGGGCCCATTGGAAACGTGACAAAAAAATGCGCGTTTGATTTTATCACCCGCTGAAACCGACAAAATAGTTTGTTTTTGTTTTCAAAAAAAGAAAAATGGTTTTCCTTATTGCAATTGTTTTACAATTTTTTTTAAATGTCAACATAAATAAATTTAAACATGGTTTTCCTTATTGCAATTGTTTTACTTTTTTTTTTTAAATGTCAACATAAATAAACTACAACTCTAAATTACAACACTATTGTAATAATGATGCTAACAAATAAATGTGGTAACAGATGGACTCATTCTTCACAGTCCAGCATTATAATAAATGTAGAAAATGTATTCACAGTCCAGCATTATAATAAATGTAAAAAATGTACGTGTCGTTCCTCGTCTAAAGAGTCTGTTGACACATTCAGAAAAACTTCTCTAACAGAAGTGACACCAACAACAGCAAATTAAATCTAGGATTTAAATCAACTCACAAAGAACCATTTGGGTAAGAGTATGCATTCATACCATATGCACTTTATTTGTTCATTTTTTTTCTTGAAACACAGCCCCATTTATACCTACAGCAAATTAAATGAAATTATAATACAATGATTAAAAATCAAGCAAAGATAAAAAGCACAGTGTATACAAATGTCATCGCAGTAACCACCGATACTGTTTTAAAACATCAGAAAAACAAAAACAAAAAAAAAACTACAGTTTATGGAGTCCAGTCAAAAGGTTGTCTCAGTTCAAGGTTCAATCCCTTTAAAAAAATGTACAAAAAGATGCTGCACAACAACCTGCACTTTAAAATATCTTGATCTGAAGGAAAAATTAAAATCAAATGTAAAGGCCTAATGTGTGTTGGCAGTCGGATTCTTTATGAAGGCATCAGGATAAAGCCAAATAAATATGAACATGGCAGTTGGAGGTCACCGGGAGAGTGACCGTGACCCCTGACACGTTGGCAGCAGGAAACCCTCCTCCAGACTCAGACTCTGCAAAACTGAAGAAGTCAACTAGATGCCGCCTGAGGCAGTGAAGTCCACGGAGGTAACAGGGCACAGCCAGGAGGGAGGGAAGTCAAAGTCGGGCCAACTGCACCCCAGGAGGAGCAAACAATAATCCCTGATGTCTGATGGTGAAACTCAGGAAACATCTGTTGATGAGATAATAATTCAGTCACTAACACTATCACATCAGTTGAAAAATTCAAACAAAGTTTAAATTTTGTGTATTTTATGAGGTTAATATAAGGTTTTCATTGAATATGAGGGTAAAGCCGATTGGTTCCACAGTCACTTCTCAGTCACTTTTTTTTCCCTGTATGGCAGTCATCACTGCACAAAGTTGAAACACACATTGCATCACATGTGAACAGGACATGTACTCACAGCTGGCAGGCTGTTCCCCGAACCGTCGCATCAGCTGATCATGTGTGAATTTAACAAATGTATCATATTGCTCTGTTGTAGGAAACACATGTGTATTAACATTTCACAGAAGAAACATCGTGAAATATTGAATTTAAAAAAAAAAAGCTTCAAAAATTCATACCTGCCAGCTTGGTCGTCAGTATCTCTTCATACTCTTCACGGATTTTGTCCTCACGTTCTTTCAGTAGTCTTTCACAAATCATCCCAACTTGTCTAAGGGAGAACAGAGGCTGCTCTTTCCTGGTGGGGGATGAACCACCTGGAGATGCACCTGGTGGAAAAATGTTTAAAATGTTTCATTATTTATTATATTTTACTTTATTAAAATGAGTCATCCAGTCTTTTGGCCCATTAAATGTCAAAGTCACGAATGAGTCCAACCATTAACTAAACAAAATTTCTGAGGAGTTTCCCTTCATCTTTTGTGTGTCGGACAATTTTCATTTGTCAAAGGAGAGAAAAAAAACTAATGGAGGAGAAGAGGAAGGAATGATTCCAGGAGGGGATTTCTGATTCTTTTTCTTTTTTATGTCAAACTACTGTCCTGGAATTTAAGTTTTCTGGAGTTTATACATTTAAAAATAAAACCTTTGACAAATGCTGAAAATATTCTGTGGCACAAATTAAAACCAAAAGATCAGCACCATTGATCGAACACAGCGTTGTGACTTCACAACAACAATCAGGGTTTTCTTTACTTTTCATATATAAATGGAGGATATTATGGGACATGGCTGGGTCAAGTTTGTTCCTCTGAAATAAAAGTAATCTTCAAACGTAAGCAGGACACTGGTCACCAAAAATAGCAACATCTTTCTTCAAATGCAGCACTACCTGGTAGGACAGATCCACTGGGAACATGCTGCAGGTCCAGAGGACAACAGCCGTCCTGTGTGAAAACAGTGTCCAGGTGTCGTCGCTTTTGCAGCCGCTTATACTCTTGTTTGATATTGTGTAAAATTTGCTCTGGTGGGGAAAAAAGTACAACATCTATTAGCATTGGTTTAATCGCTGTACATGACTACAGCACAGCTGCTTGAAACAGTCAGTGAAATTTCAGGTTGATTTCTGAGAGTTAGTGTTTAACCTATAGTATCAATGAATATTAAACTATACAATCCACCTTCAAAAACACAATAAAGTCAATGAAGACATACCTATATTACACAGTCATTTAAAAAACACACAGAAGGGAAATCACCAGATGTGGCTTACTGGTTTAATAGCCAAACTTCTCATAAAGCATTTATAAATATTGCATTTCACTCATTTCTATGAGCACATAAAAATTAAACATTCTTGACCAATAAGTCTGTATTAAAAGTTTAAATAACTTAGAGCCATAAAACACCGGCCTGCATCAATAAACCATGCCCATGCATTTTATATCAAATACTGAAATTTTATAAACTTCTAATCCAATGAGTAAACATAGTATACATTTGGAAGGTCGTAAATTTCACTGATTAATGGCGTGTTAAAATTCTTACCTGTGGTAATCCTAGAAGACACTTCTCCAAAAGGCGAAGGCTCTAATCGAAGATACTTTTGCGGTGAAGAGACCGGAGACATGATCCCAGCGCATCTTCTTCTCTTGGGCGAAGCAGGATTCATGAGTGGATCAAAGTCCATGGTCCTCTTCAGAGTAGCCCCACAAGCCATTAGGCAGCAATGTGTTGGTTAAAAGTCTAATAAAAAAAACTGGACAATTGTCCCGTTTTGTGTAAATCTAACAAGCTTGGGCCGCGGTCCTAGCTGCTAATGCTAACCGTCGATAGCGTTACAGCAGCGATTCCGGGCTGTAACTAAATACGCTATTTCTCTCGTATTTAGTCTATTTGTACTAGTAATCGCATCACCTTTAAATCGTGAAATTAATCTAAAACACAGATAGATTACACAAAACTAGTAAATCGTGGGGTAATCTCCGATGATGACAGATTTCCCCGAACAAACTAGATGACCCAAACGCTACAAGGCTTTGATGCTACCTTTCATTACACTCAGTACGCAGGCGCAGACGACTGGAGCATGTTGGGACTTGTGGTATTCATACCTGTCAGAAGCAATTGTCTTACTCCGTGTGAAAACTACATTTCCCAGAAACTGGAAAAAGCTCTTTTTTTCAAATTTGTTTTGTTTGGGAGCGACTCCTAAAACAGGGCGAAGTTTCAGTTTTACGAAAAACTTCTTGCAACCAGCCATTGAAAAACACGCGCAGTATATATGTTGACTAAAACAATCTTAAATACTTTACGCTTTATATTTGTAAATATGTGGGGTTTTTATAAAGTGTCGAATTATCTTTAATATGTCTTAAACGTCCCTTTGCCAACTTTCTATAGTTTACACCGTCTTCACTGAGACCACCACGTTAGCTTTAGCCTTTTGTGAAATAAAACTAAATACTTCTTTAGTTTTAAGGAATATTGATGATTGCTATTGTTTTCCTATTAGTTGGACTAAAATTAACCTCCTAATGTGATTCTAATAACATTACATTTAAACTGTCATTGTAAACTACCACAATATGTCTTTTGTGTGAAAATTGCTCAATATTTGGCTTACTTTATTACTAACTGAAATAATTAAGATCATACAATTAACGATACATTTTTGCGGCTGCTTACATAAACTCAATTAATGGGTTTGAATGTATAAACATGTGCAACTTTCTTCTTAATGTGTCATCTTCAGTATTTCTGTATTGTCAACACTAATTGGAGGTTTTCCTACTTGACAGGGTGAGAACTGCGGTCTACTGCTCTCCTTACACTGGACTATTTGGTGGATAAATGCACAAAATCCCTTTGACATCTGTGCGAACAAATGCCACAAAGCCAAGAGATATAGAGAAGAGATCAGATGTTTACGTCACTGTATGCTGCGCCAATCGTTTGCTTCCTATTTGTTAGCTTTGATTTAGCGGCAAATGCTTCAAGTTTTTCTGACAGAACGTGATATTAGGTGACGTAGTCTTGATTTTGTCCACAAGAGGGCAGTGTAAGACTCCGTTTTGTTATCAGCCCAGAGAGCGAGGCGGTGACAGTTGTATTATTTGCGTTCCGTCTTGGATCCCATCATGAAGTAATCAATCACTTGACTGCAGATGGAATAACAACCAGCTGTGACTTTATTCAAAGGTTTGATAACACCAATAGTAAAACACTTGTTTGTTTTCTTTTGTTTTTTTTTCTCATTACACCAGCACTGTACAGAAGCCACTCGACAGTTGACAGTTTGATTTTCAGTACTCACTAATACAAGAGGCAGCAAAAACATGTACGTAGGGATCAACAGCCGTCTGGTAAATTGTACACCTAGAAAAAACGTCTACGGAACAATTGTGCTGAGAGAATTCCAAACGTAAAGAACTACTACATCTTCTACTGTTGCTTTGTTTGTTCAGTCAGGCGTTGCATGATCCCAGTCAAGCAGCCATTAAGAGGAACTCCTGCTTTTGCTCAGATGAGAATAATTAAACAGCAGACATTGCTTTATTTTAAGGTTTACGTCAAAACTACATCACTAGACCTGTGCATGGGTTTTTGTCTTTTTCCTCTTTTGTTTGTTTTTTTTTTCCAGAACAATGGCCAACTGTCACAGTTGCACTTGAACTCACGGCTATAAGAAAAAAAAGCCTTAGCAGTGAATATGTGTCGCCAGGTCACAAATAATCTCTCTCTCACACACACACACCAGGCTGAATTCAGAATAATCCCACGTTTATCAGTAACCAAGTCAGTATGTCTATGTGGAGTTAACTTGGACTACAACACAGATATTGGGCCAGATATAGTCGATTTGTGGGCCACGCAGATGCCTTTACCCACAAACTGGGCCCAACATAAAAATGCTGACTGGAACCACTGACGAAATGCTTCATTTTGTGACAGTAGTGACCAGCACACCGTCCAAATCCTGTGACCATGAATGTGTTGCAGGTTTGACCAATATCTTGTTGTTGTTCTGTTGGCTGTTTGGCTGCATGAGCTTGAATTTTTAACACTTTATTCTTTATTTTAGCAAGATAAACACTGTACAAGTTGTTAGGTTTTACATTTGAACAAAGACACGTCACTCTGAAGCTCTAGCGGGGTTTAGAAACAGATGAGGACAGGGACGATCGTCGCTCTGCCACAGAAGATAATGCTTGAGGTTTCACATATACTCACAAGCTGTGGTTTTACTTACCCCTAACACCTTTAACACCTTGGAGTCTTTTTTTTTTTTTTTTTTTTTGAGTCTCGAGTCATGACTCAAAACCTCTTCACAGATGAGCCACTCACTGAGTGTTGTCAGAGGAAGTAAAAAATGAGACAATGACACGTGTAAATTAACAATCAGTCATTGATTTTTTTTCTCCATGTTTGCTTATATAGAAATCTCTGCACAACATCTACATTAGGCCTGTAGAGAGTCAAGGCGCAAGGATTTGTTTTTTTTTTCTTTTTATAGTTGTGCAAGACACATGGTTAAAGTCTATATGACACAGGAAAACAGCTCTAATCAAAAATGTCAGTAGCCCCTTGTCCCATAAATGAAGATATATTGTTTTTAAAACCTGAATTCACAGTACAAAAATATAATATGCCTTCACTAATTGGATGTCATGGAGTCTTATGGTAAACAGCAGCTCCAGGATCCTTTCAAACCACGAGTTCTTTTCTACGATCTCCCAATACCATTTGGCACTTCGGCACACGACGTACTCACACGCCCACAGACTGAAATGCAACCAATGAAGCGTCAGTGTGAGGGTGAGAATCAATACTTTAGGAATGGTTGCTCTTTTTTTCTTTTTTTTCTTTTCTCAGGAACCTTTGCGATGGCTGTGTTGAACGACATTGATTTGGGTGACATTTACTTCGAGTTCCCTCAGCGCTGGCCAAATTATACAGCTTCTGCAGAAGTCTCAGTTGATACAGACATGGTTACTTTGGCTATTTTCACAGTGGTCTTCACGCAGCTCTCCGCAGCCCTGTTGGCAGAAATGTTGGCATGTCTGTTCTGGCAGTCCGACTCCAGGCTATTGTCCAGCTGCTGGGAGTTGGTCCTGCAGGCGCCGCAGGAGCTGAGGAAGGCGTGCCGCAGGTCCTTGCTCCTCAGGGCGTAAATGATTGGGTTGACGGTGGAGTTGAGCAGACAGAGCATGCTGCAGAAAGCAAACACTGTCTTGATGTTATCGTCCATTTTCCAGAAGAGGTCGTAGACCATGATGGCCAGCAGGGGGCCCCAGCAGATGACCAACACCACCAAGATGAGCACCAGGGTCTTGGCCAGGCGGATGTCCATGCGTGTCTGCTCAGGGCGCGTGGTCTGCACTTTGGTCCCGTCTGCCGAGTAAACGACCAGGCTCTTCTGGGAGGTCCGGCTCATCATGCGCACGGCGTGGTGGTGTGCTTTCCACAGGATGTATATGTAGGCGTAGATAATGAAAATAACTAAGGCACTGGTCACACCGATCCAGAACATCAGGTAGTTCTCGTCGATGAGAGGGAATATGTCTGAGCAAACAGAATTGAGACGCTTACAGTTCCAGCCCAGCAGAGGGAGCACTGCAATGACGATGGAGATAGTCCACATCAAGCAAAAGGCTATGACCGCCTTGGTCCGCGTCACAATGCGCCTGTAGGCGAGGGGCCGGTGTATGGAGATGTATCGGTCGATAGCCGTGAGGAACAGACTCCCCACAGACGCCGTGAACGACGCGGTGACTCCACCCAGCTTGAAGAGGAACACGTTTGGGCTGTCCTTCCGGTGGAAAACATGGAAGTCCAGAAAGCTGTAGACAAAGATGACACTGCCCAGCAGGTCGGCCACGGCCAGACTGCCTATGAAGTGGTAGGAGGGTCTGCAGCGAAGGGTGCGGGACTGCAGGATGACGCAGAGCACCACCAGGTTCTCCAGCACGGTGAAGGTCCCCAGGGTCAGAGACATCACAGCCACAGCCAGCTGCTGGCTGGGAGTCAGGATCATGAAACACTCCATGTCCATGAAGTTCTCCCCACACTGTATGGTGTCGGTCTCATCTATGAATGTGCTCCGGTTACCAAACAAGTCTGTGGTGTTGGGGCTGAAGAAGGGAATGCTCTTGAGGATGAGCTCCTCGTCTGCAGGTACTTTGTTGGGGAAGGAGTTGCTGCGGAACGCAGACAGCGGCTTCTGCAGTGAGAAGCTGCCCTTGAAGTCCACGTCGGTGGTGGCATCGTCGTAGTTTGCATCGTTGGAGCCCAGAAACTGTAAACCAGACGTAATAGTCCGGAAGGTGGTGTCTGCCACACCGTCCAGCACAGACTTCATGGCTATATCTGAGCGTGAGGCTGCAGTGGAGAACCTACAGAATGATGGAGAACATTTCAGTCTTTCCACCTAAGAAATCCAACAGTGAATCCAAACGTATTATTGTCAGGTATTTTAAGCAGCCTGTGAGACATGAACGCTCTCTGAGAGTCAGTGGGCTCATGAATAATGAAGAGCCCAGCTCTGCTCTGCCCATCACGGCAGGACATTATTCATCACACAGTCTTACTTTATAAAAATGGGGAAAAAATAAATATACACAGACACATGTTCCTAAGGAGACGTGTGTAAAGGAAACAAACCCATTTTACCCTGTGAAAAATGACTGGAACAAAGAGAGACAACAAACCCATCAGCGTTTTCTTTGTGGTTCAATCACTGCTCTGGACTTTGAATGATTTTTACTTCCCTCCTTTTTTCCTGTTATATGTTTTTGATGAAGATAATTTTAACTGTAATTCTAATCTGTTTGGAGAATTCGGGCGATTCAAATATAAATGTCTCGACGTGTTTTACAAACAAATACAATCGTTAATGGAATCAAATCTACGCGCCGTCCTTTCAAAAAAAAAAAAAAAACGTCTTCAGTTGGGTGTGAATTTTTCGGGGAACAAAAAAAAATGAAACACACAAAGAAAACATTCGAGGCATCAGTTTTTACCTTACATCATTTTTCTTTTTCCTTTCCAAAGGCGCACGATCCCGGCGCGTTAATCCAAGTCAGAGGGTCTTACATAAAGAGCAGCAGCCTGTTTGTCTTCATCTGTCAAAATAAAAGCACCATCACCTCCAAAACAACTCAAAACAACTATTTCCCCGACAACTGTACGTGTTAATGAAGTTGTTTTGGGTTGGTTTTTTTCTCTCCTCCTGGAGTGCGCTCCTGCTCCGGGATGCAGACTGTTGCTGCTGCTGCTCCTGCTGCTGCTGCTGCTGCTACAGACTCTCTCCAGCCTCTTTTTTTTCCTCCGTGTTTTCACACTTATGAAGCGTCGCTCCTACGAGCCACAGTCACGTGACTCCATAAAGTCTGCCCAACCCCAGCAAGCTGTCAAGTGTTGCGCATAGGAACAAGGCAGATGACGGTGATGATGAAAAAAGAAAAAAGAAAAAAGATCCGATTAGAATGTTCAGTGCAGCACGTTTCAGATGAAGAACAAACAACCAGAGACAACACGGTATGAAAATCAATATTTGAATATTTAACACAGTTCAATCAAACTCTGTCCAGGTATTTGATCAGTTTCCTGTGTTTTAGCCTCAGTTACTGTAACCAATTCAGCAGTTTTTTCAAACACAGTTTTTTACCTTTCAGTTTTCAGCTTTGTCTCATACCATCTTAACTCATCTCACTTTATCCTATTGTTACTAATCTCCTCTCATCTCCTTTTATCTCATCTCAAATCAATCTCATTGGATTTCATCTTCTCTTCTTTACCTGTCTTTTTTTATGTTGACAGGTTTGGGGTGTAAAAGGAAGCTCTAATCCACGTACAGTATATTGATTGATCCGCTGTGCCACTGTACCAGTAATAAAAGCCACAAAATCCCACAATCAACCAGTTAAAAAAAAACCCAAAATGATTCACGCAAATGGTTTTTTATCTTTTCCCACCCGGACCCCCAGACTGACCCAGCTCAGCACATCGATCAGATTACACTCAGCCAAATGAACGGACCGGGCTATGAACCACAACAACAAAAAAAGATTTGATCTGCACTAATGAAAACAGTTTTGATTCACTGCCTTCTAATAATCCAATTTCCATTTCTTTTATCAGGTCAGTGCTGAGCAAACCTTTTTTTTTTCTTTTTTTTTTCCTTTTCTGTCTGTTCTCCCTCAGACTGAGGGAGTCAGTGCTGCTCAGCCAAACTGGACTGGAGAGGCTTCATGGTTTATAAAGATAAGAAAGACAGAGGGGGCCGTGAATGTGACACCGTCTGACGACAAAAAAAGAAAAAGAAAAAAAAATACAAAACCTGCACTGTGTGGTGTTGAAATTGAAATTGGGGCTGTGGCACAAAGCAGTCAGTTTGATTATTTTTCAGTTCCTTTCCAGCAGATCGTCACTTCAAGCATCTGATTTTTTTACATCTTTATAATAAAGCTCTCTCTCTCTCTCTCACTGTTGATAACTGATTAGCTTTGGAAGATAAGAGATCTTCCTCTCTGAAAAATCAAAGTCAGGAGGAGCAGCATTCCTGGTTCGGCACCAAAGACGGAGTCTCTAATGATCCTCCTGTTTGTCTCTGACAGTCTGGAGAGAAGAGGGAAAAAAAATTCACCTCCAGATGCACTTTTACTGCTGAAGCTCCAGCCTGCCATGGCTCTGTGCATCCAGGGAGACATCATTTTTTGATGATGCAATGTAGCTCACTCCACTATTGTTACGGTCAGATTTGGTTTCAGCATCGGGGGTTTGTTTTCTCCAGATAAACAGAAGGGCTTTGACATTATTGTGCCGTATCTCTGATGGATTCCTCACCGCCCGCCGCCTCAGTGGTCGAACATCAGTGCAGAAGAAATTACTGGAATAATAAATACACAGTATATGAACCCGGAGGGCACAGACACTTAATAGAGCAGCAGTGGCAAAGGCTGTGGCCGGGGTGTTTGAGGGCGGGGGGTGTGGGGTGGGGTATTAATGTGTTGATATGAGAGCTACACCACCAGGCTGAAGATAGAAATGTTGAGGTCTCTGAGCATCACAGAAACAAACTCACGATCACTGTGTGGAATATGAAGTAAAGTTTGTGCATTCACAAACAGCCAACACTGAGAGTCTGTTGTACAGTATGTGTAACACTGTGAGTCTGTTGTATGTGTAACACTGTGAGGATGTTTTACTGCACATGGAAGTGATGCTGCAGGAAAAGTTACATAATTTATTTTAAAGAAAAACGAGTGTGAAGCAAAGAGCAG